GACGAGAAAGAGAGAAAGGTGAAGTGATTTTGCCTCAGTTTACCAGAAAAGATTTTTTTTGTTGTTGTTGTTACTTCAAGGCTCACCAGTGAGGCCATTTTCAAATAACCAAGGGCAACACACACACACACAAAAACAGTTCTTAGGTTTTCATTTGTTTAAAAAAACAAACAAACACAACAACAAAACAAAACCCAAACAACGAACATTTGCAAAATCAGCAAAGCACCAACCACAAGACATAGTATTTAGCTTTCAGGCTAGTTAAGAATTAGGGAAAAAACTATATTACTATTTTGATGAACACTGAATGGTTACTATGTAGTTTTACTTCTGATGTTAAAACGTAACAGCAGATGTACAATTCCATAATGTAAGGCAAAAAAAAAAAAAGTGGTTTGAATGCTGCTTGTAAGGATTAGCAATATAAAAACTATTTTTGTACTAATCTGAAGCACAATAGGCAGATTATATGCTGTAGCTCCTTTACAGAGGCTACTGATTTCTCAGGAGTTCTATTTAAGATAATTTCTACTCATTTTGATGCATTACTGTGTATGTTCTGAGTGTGTATATATATTGCATAGTCCAAGTAATTTTAATGTTTCACTCTTAGCACACAAAATACATTCCCTCGAATTTATTTCCGTCTCCCTCCAAATATATTGTGTTTTTTTTAACTTTACCCCCCAAATCTGTTGCTACTGATGGAAACAGGTCACATTTGCAGAAGGGCTGTGCTAACAATCTTGCTTTCTATGAAGACCAAAACTGCAAAAGCAATTCTAAATTTAGATAATAAAAAAACTATTCTGCACTTTAAATAGGTAAGAATGAGAACACTGCAAAATGCCAGACGAAATAAATAAATAACCTTAGTTTGTTAATTTCTCTCTTGTTTAATTAACACCTATAAATGACCTTTAGCATTGACAAGTCCAACTTCATCCAGAAAGCCAAGGTTTAAGAATATCTATCCAAATAGGATTGATTACTGATTACAGCATTGTGAGGAGCACAATCCAATCTGATTTTTTTTTTTTTTTTTTAAAGGCTGGAACTGCATTCTTGAGTAAGCTGATGTGACTGCCAATGAGGTAAAATGCAGAGAGTCATTACACTATAATAATGTTGATGATACCATTTCTACATTTATCAAAAGCACAGAATACATATCATTTTAGACTGACATTCAACCTTGTCAGAAATAATTTTTCTTTATATTGTTTGGAATTAAAAACACATTGAATTGATCCATTAAGAAAATTTTCTTCTCTCTTATCTTTGTGTTTTTCAGACTGTGTCTGCATCCTTAGGCAATGAAACAATTTTTATAATTGTAATAAAACCACAAAGTGTTGACTTTAAGTTAAAAAAAATGTTGCTTGAATGACTAAATACTTCAGCACACAATAAATCCTGATAAGTTTAACATACAGATAAACCACATGCTTGAACAGGTACATATATTTCAGTTTTTCATATGTAAGTTTGCTTAAACTTATTTCAGTTTTTGTCTTCTGCTCAGTGTTTATAGAGAAGGTCTGCATCTCTAAAATTTAATATTGGTTTAGTCAAAAAGCATCTACCCTTAAGCAGGAAAACTAAAAATCTGCCATTAGAACAACAGTTTATAGTCGTAAGTACAGCAGTAATGTTATATTCCAGCAAGAATTACAACTGAAGCATCTATCCGTATTTCAATGAAGACAGGAACGATAAAAGAGTCAAGCTGATGTATTTCTTGCTTATTTCTGGACATAGAAGTTTCAGTTCGGCAATGTAAACTGAGAATCATAGAGCTCAGTGTTTGTTTTCTCCCAAAGCCAGAAGACATTAACATCACTGAACTATATTCCCAACGAGAGCATATCAACACATTCTACAGGAAAATCTCTAGAATATTATTTTTATTTGTTTTCAAAGAGCAGCAGAGAGAGACAATCTGCCATTTAAAACCAGTTCCACATAGTATTTGGAACAATTCGTCTCTAAAGCAGAAGAGGGGGCAGACTTATTTCCTTTCGAGTTTGCAGCAGTATCACAACTGATCAATTTAATTTCAATTTTGTTTCAGCAACAGTTAGGTGCAGACTTTTTTTTTTTTTAATGTTCAAATCTTTACTCTCGCAACTGTAATATATCTTTTAATCTCAAAGACTATTTTAGACTCCTTTTCCCCTCCTTTTGGCTCTTAATGCTACATACCCTATCCAACATGTAATCGTTATTGTCAAGCTTGAGAAAACACAGGAAGATTCCCCCTCCCAAATACACAGAGGAGGAATGAACTGACTAGTGCTTGTCTAGCTGCTGCAAGGCTAACTAGCACAGAATATCACCTACAGGCACTAAGTGTCTTATCTTACAGAAGTATGCAAAACAATCTTGCCCCATGGTAGAAGATACAGAGACAGTAGGATCCTAACTCCACAGAAAGGTAGAGTTAAAACTACATGTTAAAAAATGTTGACAACTATTTTTTACGCTGAATTTCTGCATTTTACTGCTTTTACTCATCTGTGATAGCCTTAAGTGTTTTTGTTTTCAGTTCCCAAATACATCCTTACTGGTCACGTTACTTGTTGGCTACTGCTTTAAATGATGATGTTCAGTCCATAGAGAGAAAAACCCCACGCCAATATTACTGTTGAGGAATTGGTACACACAAGACTCATTTACACATTTACAGAATAATTTGAAAGACAGCTGACACACAGTTGATGCAGCTGATGTAGAAAATAGGCTCTAGAGAAAGTCCTCCCCTGCTCAGTATAAGATTAATTTTTAAATTTTTGAAATATTCTATAGAGCAACTACCAAAGCAGAGACATTTAAAGCAGGTAATTTTATATATACTATATTAGGCCTTATTCTTCACATTTAGTAGATTCCTATCAGCTAACTATGGTACAAAGAACTAAGCACCTCCAAGGAACAAATGAATATACGTATTTAGAATACTGAACATTTTAATAGGTCAATGACTACTTGAAAGGCCTTCGGACAACTAATGAGTACAGGTCAGTTATACAAGCATCACCTGTTTTACCAGTGTCAGATAACATACTACTTAAAAGCATGATTTCTGATTAGAATAGACTATTTCCATTGGAAGGGACCTACAAGAACTATCGAGTCCAACTGCCTGACCACTTCAGGGCTCACCAAAAGTTAAAGCATGTTATTAAGGGTGTCGTCCAAATGCCTCAAACACTGACAGGCTTGGGGCATTGACCATCGCTCTAGGAAGCCTGTTCCAGGGTTTAACCACCCTCTTGGTGAAGAAGTGCTTCCTCATGTCCAGTCTAAACCTCCCCTGAATTGTTCCTAAGCTAATTATTTTAGATAGTGTTCATACACTGGTAGCGCAATATATGCCAGATAATATTATTAGGATTTGGCTCTGAGCCCATTACATGTGCATGTGTACACTTCGTATCTTCCTTCTTAGTGCTTCATGAAAATTCTAAGTTTATTTAGGTTCCCGCTGCAGATGAAAACACAACAATTGTAGCAGCTGTAATATTAAAGTATTATGCAAGCAAAGGTGGCACATGTATTGTCATAACAGTAAAAACCATGCTGCATCTTGTCAACATGCTGCTGGATCTCTTTTGTAGGTTTATCTGCTACTTAATCTTTTGCTTATGAAAATTTGGAGCAACTATTTTAGTCATTTTGAAAACCTCAGGCAAATTTTAAACACAAATCCTTTTACTCTTTATCATAGTTTTCTGTTTGAAATATTAATGCAAAAAAAAAAATTTTAACAAACATCTACTAAAAATCTAATACACCTCCAGAATCTGTTGAATGTGGGTAAAGCATATTACGTTTATGCATACTTCCCTATCATTTACTATATTAAATAATGTCATTTTAAACACCTGTGAGAATTATTTATTAGTCAGACATTGTTCAGAATTCTTAGAGAAAGATTCTGTTACTAAAGGGCTCATCTTTGTATCAGATAGAATAGAAAATAATTACGCACCATAAACATTCTGGTTCCATTTTACTCTATTATTTTAAAACTTATGTTACAAAGATTGTAATAATAGAAGGCCATCTTAATCCACGTAATGGTACACATCACCTGTCTCTGTCAATGAGACATTTAAAAGCATCTCTTTATTAGAAACACAAATCAATACACTCAGGGGACTGCAATAACTGCTTCAAGCAATTTGTATTATTTCATTCTTGCTGTTCCTGCTCAGAGCAACTTATTATGACTGGCGCGAAAATGGCAACCTGTCACAATTGATTTTTTTCTAAACCTCTTGCAAAAATTTTTTCCTTTCTTAATATAATTAAGTATCTTCTTCTTACTAAACACAGGTCTAGGTTGTAAGATACAGCCTACAACTGAAGTTCCATTTCTTCATAATTGAGGGCCCTCCCCAACTCACATTAGAAACATTACCGATGAAATGAAGACCTATTTGCTTCGTTTTGAACTGAAAGAACCTTGTACAGAGGGAAGCACTCAAGCTTCTGGGATCTTGTCAACAGACAAATCTCTTGACAATGTTTTCATTGCTTACAAAAATCCCTGGAAGAGCACTCTGGGTACTGACTGGAACCTCAGTTATCTCGCTCTACTTCCTCTGGGAGCCCAAAAAAGTTTTAGTCGTCTGTTATAAACACTCCTTAAAACTACTGCGTAACTTTGGCCAAATACTTTACAGTAATATAATCTGAGAGAAGTGAAGTGGGAATTAATATTTAGCTGTAAGATAGAAGTATAAAAGTCTGAAGATGCGCCTTTATGCTTGGAAGACAAACGTTTCCATTAGTACCTGTAACACTCCTAGCTAAAGGAAGAATTATTTTACTTCTGAAATGAGACAGAGGCAGAATTCACTTCTCATACCAAAGTTCAAGTCAGTCTAGCACACACGAAATACATGAGTAAGAGCTCATGGTTTTAGGTACCTCTGTTTTTAAGTTTTATGAAAACAAAAGTAGGAAATCCCACAGCAAGGCTAACTTACCTTATTTTTTGGATTGGATGTGTTCATTACACTTCGAGTTTCCTTGCCTGTGTAAATGACAACACCAATTACAGTTCCTGTAAAACAAACAAAACAAAAAGTAAAACAGAGGTGTCAAGTAGTTAAGAGAAAATTTGTCTGAATTAAAACTTGCAGTAATTTACAGTCCCTCAAACAAATCAATTGTATGAAAAAGCTCAAACATTTATGCAATGTACGTAGTATTGTGAATGTTGTTTTTCAGAATTGACTATCATGTATCATTATAACTTCTTTAATTAACATCCATAAAAATGACAACATGTTTTCCTTCTTTTTAATGGAAACAATACCTTCAATGTTACTGGTTAAAAACTTACATTTGAACTTAAAATTGTCTCCAACTGTTTTCAGAAGTTAACACACAGCATAAATAACTGCCCTTCACAAGGAATACAAAAATGAGTACAATGGTGCTGAACACATCAGACACAAATTGCCTGCTAGCTCCGTCATCTATAATGATGTAAAATCTAGTTCACCCAATTAATTACTTTGATAGAATCTCATAGAAAAATATTGTCCTGTTCATTAACTTATAAAAATGATTCCGCAGTTCCAATTATCTTTTAGTCAATATTTAGTGGATGGTATAGGAAAACTTGGCTTCAGCATCACTAAATAAATTTTCACATTAAATAAAAATTTAGGGTTTTTTTAGTATGCCACTATCACACTTTCTAGCACAGAACATAATCCTTATTTCTATTACTTTTTCAAGTGACCTGAAATGGCTTTATGGCAGTACAACCAATAGTGTGATATTTTTTGTTGTCTTTATAGCATAAAGAAATAATTAACCTAACTTGTCAGAAACACCCTGCTCAGAAAACTTTAAAAAATGTAGAAGTATTACACATTTGTCCAACATTAAGTAACTTTATTTGTCTTTGGCAATCAGGACCATGTGCAAGATCTGCTGTCACCACTCTTGCAGTGTAACAGGTCGTAAAAAAAATTGAAGGAACACACACAAAAAAAAGATGACAGTTAAAGATGTTGGCATTAAAGAAAGGAAATTTCATTTACTCAAAAATGAGAATGCAAGTGAAAACTTTGAATCCACATACAAAACATCAGTGATTATACATTACATCCTCTGGACAATTAAAAATTACTTTTTCTATTATTTTTCTCTCCATACTACAGCTTTTTCTTAAGGCTTCCCTTGACAGAACATTTTGCCCAAAGCTAGTTTGCCTCTGCTGACAGTTCCACATGCAAATCTGTGCATTAGTATATAGGTAACATGTCCCTGACACACCCCAAAATTCCTCCTGACTTTTGTAAAAGAATAGCCATTGATCTGTAATTTCTGAAATCTTTCTACTGGTCTCCAACCAATGCCCATATCCCTTTGCGCCACTTTATTTTGGGGTGATCCTCTGCGCTGACCTCTGTCCAATGGCCAGAACACACTGGACGATATCTTGTAGGGAATCCCCTCCCCAACAATCTCTGCCTTTGCAGCTCCTTAGTTCAGTAGAAGATGGGGAGGACTTCTCCATTCCAGCTGGCACCTTTCCATTAAGTTTCACCTGGCTAGGCTGCTGCAGCTCAGGAAAACAAGCTGTCCTATTTGTCTTGTATTTTGCTCCTTGAAAAGCTGGTTTCAAAGGTGAAAGTCAGATAAAAGCCATTTTGACTACTGAATTTTGATCATAATTTTAGCTAAATCTGAGCTGCTACTTCTACTGAGGCATTGATCCTTGATTTTAAACTTTTGGGGCTGTCAGATACTAGCACAGTATCACTGGTAAATCTAGGGTTCCTTAGACCTGAATTACATCAGTGTAGG